GGAGCAGCTGGTTCAGGTGCTTCAGTCATGTCTCCCTGCCAAGTTGCACGTCTCGAGGAAGCGGATGGGTCCGCCCGATCTCGATGCTCTGGAACTGTCGAGTACTTTCCACTAGCAGCTGGATCGATTCTACGCTTGTACACGGCGAGTTGACATGTGGGGATAGTTTGTCATACACATTATACACTACCTTTTTTTTACGAGATCACTACACACTACACAATTATGTGCAAATATACAAAGGCAGTTGGAGATGCTCTTAGAAGTTACAAGTTACAAGGGGTATAGCATAGGAGTCGATGACGAGCAGCTCCAGCACGGGATGGATCCTAGGAGCGCGGAACATCCTCAAGTCGCGGAAGCCTCCACCGCATCCACATCCTTAGGCCACTGCTCGCCGGAGGTGCACCGTCGGCCGGGAGCCCCACCGCTTGCCGTCGCCCGGGAGCCTCGCATGCACGACCAATGAAGGCCACACACTTTTCCCATGTACTCCTCCATCTTCATCAGTGAAATCCAGCAACGTACCGATGCTTTTTCGTCAAGAAAAAGACGGGATGGGTCCAGATAACATATCTACACTGAATAGTCAGTTGTAGCGGCACATGATTAACCGTCTTACATTCAAAATATTTGACGACATTGTGTGATCAAAAGCTCTGGACAAGATAAAACAAGAGGGTCCTGACCGGAATGACCAGTGCAGGTTGTTGCTTGGGAACGTGACAAAGCATAAGTTAGAAGCATATGACTGCACCAACTTTATTCTTAAATCAAAGCAGCATGCTGCTTTAACTTTTGGCTGGCCTTTGCCTTTGCAGTGAATGTAAGAGCGCATCAATCTAATCTTTGTCCAGGAGACGTACAAGTTTGGATGGCCGCATGCATCGTTCTGGTGCAGAGGCCGGGGGATAACCTCCTTTTCGGGAAAAAAAAAGAGACGTACAAGTTTCAAGGAATATTTAAAGACCCCGGAGATGCTGCGGAAAGAAGAGAAGCCATGATCAATCTGTTTGTCCAAAAGGATGACCCTTCTTCTTTGGAAGAGAGCATCGATCCTTGCCGTGCCAAGGTGTCATCTGGTGCCCACAACCATGTTTTGTGTCGGTCATGTGTGTAGTACTATATATATAGATAGCGGCGACACACACACACACACTACTACGCCTGCCTGCACCCACATAGGGGAGGCCAAGGGGAGAGGGCCGGGCAGAGGGGGTAGCCATGTACAACTCCGGCGGCGCCTCGACCGCGCAGGGCGGCAGCAGCAGCGGGGTGTGCACCAGCCCAGAGTACAAAGACGTCATGCACGCCAATGATTGGCTCATGGTCACCACCACGGTCGTCGTGACGGTCCTCGTCTTTGGGCTCGTCATGCTCTGCATGCTTGGCCGCCGTACCAGGCGCCACAGCGGGTACTCCATCGCCATGCGCGTCATCTTCCAGGCATGCTTCACGCTCTTCCTCCCCTTCATGTCCTACATCTTCTCCCAGACCAAGAGCAAGCCCGACCCCAGCAACCAGCGGCGCACGGAGATCATCATCCTCTGGATGCTGCTCGTCGAGCTCCTCCGCAAGAAGGTCTCCGCGGGGATGGCGCCAGCCGCTGAAGCCTTCACCCGCGGCATCGGGCGCTATAGCCTGTTGTACCCCGTGGAGGAGGTGGTGCGCATGGCGTGGATCGGCTACCTCATCTACGCCTACGTTCATGGCTTGGGCATCAAACCCTTCTTCATCATCCTCTGGATATTTGGCGTCGCAACGCTTTGCAAGCGGGCCGTCTGCATCCATGTCGCCAAAGACTCCTTCGACCTCGCCAAGAATGCCGCACTCGTCTCTGGCTACATGGCGCAGCTCGTCCATACGCGCCGGCAACTGTCCAACGAAGACGACACACACCTACCGGGCACCCATATCATGAGGACTTGCAACTATGTAGTCATGGGAGAGGGCCGGCTCAAAAGAAAGGTGACGCCCTACGGCTTCGAGATCCACGACCCAGAAGTGAAGAACTTTGGCCTTGAGATCGGCGGCGAAGAAAGGGAGAACATTGTCCCCGAAGGAGGCAGTCCAAACGGCCACCAAGTGACCAACAAGTCCGAGTTGGTCCGGGTATGTGACATATGGGGCTTCTCCGAGACAGAAGCCATCTTCAAGTACGACATGAGTAGGAAACTGAAGTTGGAGAACATTTGCCTTGCCCTCGCACTCTTCAAGATACTCCGACGAAAGATGGCAGAGGTCAAGACAACACAAGCGCGTGATCTCGTGCTCTGGGGCCTCCTCGGGCTCACGGGGAATGAAGCGTACGATGCCCATCGGGCGTTCCATGTGGTAGAGCTAGAGCTCAGGTTCATGGATGAGTACTACCAAGATATCATTCCACTGGCATTGCCTAGGCCAGAGCTCTTTCTGGCCAACTTCGCCTTGTCCATCGTCTTTGTCCTGTTCTATGGCGTCACTGTGTTGCTCGTCACCAGCAATGCCAACATCATCATCGTATTGGGCTCGCTGTTCAAGGGGCTCATCGGTCTATTCATCGCCATGCTAGTACACCACAAGTGCTTTCTGCACCAAGTGGCCTCCTTGGTTGTCACTGTGCATACCTCTTTTGACATCATCATCACCTACCTCCTCATGCTCGCCCTCCTCCTCGTCCAGACATATCAGTTGATCCATTACGTGATCTCTGACTGGTTTCTAGTGTCCTTGATCTGCAACTACGTCTGAAAAAAAAGCATGCAGAGATTGTTCCACCATAGGCAAATCATCAAGATCATCTTGTGGACGAAGCACCGTTTGTTCCCACCATCAAGGTCCACCAGCTCAACATTTTGAAGCTTAATCCGCTTCACCTGCATTCTCGGGTGTGGATGCTTGTCTCTAGCTTGCTCAACAGGCGTCTCGTCGGGTTCCCGGATGCCATCGTCAGCACTGATGTCAAGCTGGCCATTGTCAAGGTCTTGAAGAACATCCTCGACCCTAGCTCCGACAAGGACTTCAGCAACGGCATAGGTGCATTGGAGCAGCATGGATTCACTCAACTCAAATGGGCGTGCAAGGACAATATGGATGTCGCCACAGTGATCGTGGTGTGGCACATCGCAACGGCCCTATTTGAGACGAGGAACCGACAGAAGCACCCATTGCCGCCAGAAGGCCGGGCTGCCCTGATGTTGTCAAGGTACTGCGCATACCTCGTGGTATACGAGCCATGCCTCCTCCCAGACGACAAGACATGGACGGAGAAAGTGTACAGGGACATCAAGGCGGAACTCAACAGCTTCTTCCAGAGCTATTGCACCACCATGCACCGTCGTAAGCACCTGATGAGGTTCTTCTCAACTAAAGAGAAGGAGATGTCAACCATGGAGACGGGCGTCAAGCTAGGGAAGCAACTAGAGGAAAGAGACACTAGTGTCGATGGTGATACATTGCACGAGGACGAGAGGGTTTGGAAGATGCTCCTTGACTTCTGGGCGGAGCTGCTCGTGTTCATGGCTCGCAGGCCATCGGGAGGACAAGATGCACATGCGTTGGCGTTGGGCAATAGCGGTGAGTTCATCACCCACATCTGGGCTATGCTCACCCACGCCGGCATCCGTCTCTCCAAGAATCACCAGGAGGACCATGTTCCGTGGTGCCATCCCGATCCTGTTTGATCAAAAGGATCAGTGCACATCAAAGCCGGTTTCAATGAAGTCGTTGCTTTTTTTTAAGAGTGGCATAATAAATTCTTTGTTGTTATTTCTTTTTAAACTTTTATCTGATTTGCACCACCAGTAGCTGGCTGGCATAATCATGCAATGAGCTAGTTGGCGTAGTCCTGCTATGTTCTAGTGCAAGATGCGTTCACATAATATATTAGACTCATGCAAGCTGTGCATGCAGCTGATTTCATCTTAAATTTTAAATGTTTTATCTCGATGTAGATCTGGTGATTTTTAATGAAATGAAAAAACAAAGCTAAAGTTCCATCACAAGATGTCGATGTGCATCACACAATGCACCTTGGAACATATCCTAACACAGAGATCTTTTTTTTTGAGCTTTAACACAGAGATCTTGGCAAGGTATCGACTGTACAACACTAGGCGGGGCCAGGAGGTACTATCTATGGACTCGCATGCAAATATATTTTTGTTTAATTCCATAACATAGTTGGAGCAGCAAGATACTGGTCATACGGATAATGAACGATTTTCAAACCATGGTTTAGGTGCGAGAGGGGCCCTATGGAGATCACAACACACACGCATCGCTAACGTCCTGCCAGCCCAAGAAAGGCGAAACGGGTGGTGACGAAGACAGTCGGTGCATATATACAAGCCAAGCTTTAGGGCATGTTCGATGGTTGTCGGGATCGAGGAGTTGCCCTCAAGGGATATTCTTAGCGCCAGAGGAACAACAATGATAGACGGTGATGCGAGGAATTGCCCCATGCCTGATTGGAGTTGTGGTGGTGGATAAGGTCGGGCTAGCCCGCCTACCACCTGCACCACCAGCTCTGTGGCTTCCAACTGCCGTGGATGCCCGATTGTGAACAGTTTTTAACAGCGTGAACAATTTTTGGCTTATTTTTTGAAAGAACATGATTTTATTGCGCAAATATGAAGATTTTTAGAAACAGCGAACAATTTTTGAAATGACGAACATTTTTGGAATTCTCATATTTTTTCTATTCACGATCATTTTTGGAAACAAAACTTTGAACTATTTTTGGAAGGTCAAAGTTCATTTTATTTTTCATTTCGCAAACAATTTTATGAATTCACAATATTTTTGAATTCATGAATATTTTTCAAATTCGCTATTTTTTATGAAAGCATCTTTTGAATTCATGACACTTTTTAAATTGACCGACAAATTTTGTATTTGCAATTTTTTTATGAATTCTCGAATCATTTTTTGAATTGTGAACATTTTTTTGATTCACGATTTGTTTTGAAATCATGATCATTTTTTCAAATTGACAAAGATGTTTTTGAATTCTTGGACATTATGAAAATTTCTAAAATTTTCAAATTCACCAATAGTTTTGATTTCTTAGACATGTTTTGGATTCACACTCACTTTTTGAATTCACACTCATTTTTTCAATTTCATGAACACTTTTTAAATTATGAACATTTTTTTATTCAGAATCACAAACATTCTATGGATTCATTAATATATTTCAAATTTGCGAACCTTTGTTGTATTGTCGAACATTTTATTAATTCAAATTTTCCTTTGTAAATTATAAAACAATTAATTCATTAATAATTTTCAAATTCAGGAAAATATTTTGTATTCCAGTTTTTATAAATTTTTCGAGTATTCTTTAAATTATGTTAAAAATAACAAAGAGAAAGGGGGCAAAAAGGGATGGCCCACCCATTGAGTTGCTACACTTGGCCGACCCACACTTGTCAGAGAATAGGAGTTGCTGCGAGTTCACGTTCGGCGACTCGCTATTTGAGGGTGTCTGTCGGTGTCAAAACCGGCGGATCTCGGGTAGGGGGTCCCGAACTGTGCGTCTAGGCGGATGGTAACAGGAGACAAGGGACACAATGTTTTTACCCAGGTTCGGGCCCTCTCGATGGAGGTAAAACCCTACTCCTGCTTGATTAATATTGATGATATGGGTAGTACAAGAGTAGATCTACCACGAGATCAAGGAGGCTAAACCCTAGAAGCTAGCCTATGGTATGATTGTTGATGATGAAGTTGTTGTCCTACGGACTAAAACCCTCCGGTTTATATAGACACCGGATAGGTTAGGGTTACACAGAGTAGGTTACAATGGTAGGAGATCTAAATATCTGTATCGCCAAGCTTGCCTTCCACGCCAAGGAAAGTCCCATCCGGACACGGGACGAAGTCTTCCATCTTGTATCTTCATAGTCTTGGAGTCCGGCCGTGACGATAGTCTGGCTATCCGGACACCCCCTAGTCCGGGACTCCCTCAGTAGCCCCTGAACCTGGCTTCAATGACGATGAGTCCGGCGCGCATATTGTCTTCGGCATTGCAAGGCGGGTTCCTCCTCCGAATACTTCATAGAAGGTTTTGAACACAAGGATAGTGTCCGGCTCTGCAAAACAAGTTCCACATAACATCGTAGAGAGAATAACTTTTGCACAGATCTGCTGACGTATTCCGCCGCGTGACATCACACCACGGCCAGGCCTTTAGATGAATCATTTTTTTACTGTTCCACGTCAGCGTGTTTAGCGAGGTAGTTTTCTTGGCACGTCTCATCAAAGCATAGATCGTGCCCCCTTATTCCGGGATTCTCGTCAATACGGACGTGGGTAACCCATCCGCGCCATTGATTACGGCGCTTGGGGAATAAGTGAGTTTTACCAGGCTGGTGGGGGACGCATAGCTTCGCCCGTCCATATAAGGGGATAAGGATCCACCTTTTCACCTACGCCTTCTTCCTCCTTTGCTTATCCATTTCCGCGCACTCGAGCTCCAGCGCCCAAGTCCGCACATCCCACCTCGACCTTTCTCCAACCATGTCAGGAGCGGGAGGCAGGTGGATGGCCTCCTCCGTCAAGGAAGGGCACATCACCAAGCTGCAGGAGGCCGGATACTTGTCCTGCAACATCGCGTACAGGCTGCCCAAAGCGGGGCAGCTCATTCCAACCCCCGGGCCCCATGAGAGGGTAGTGTTTCTACCCCACTTCCTCCGCGGACTAGGTTTTCCACTTCACCCTTTCGTCCGGGGGCTCATGTTCTACTACGGCCTGGACTTCCACGATCTGGCCCCGAATTTCATCCTCAACATTTCGGCGTTTATCGTCGTGTGTGAGGCCTTCCTCTGCATCCAGCCCCACTTCGGCTTATGGCTGAAGACCTTCAACGTCCAGCCGAAGGTAGTGGGCGGCCGTCAAGCAGAGTGCGGAGGCGCCATGGTTGGCAAGATGGCCAAGGTCCTATGGCTCGAGGGCGCTTTTGTGGAGACAATAAAGGGGTGGTAATCGGGGTGGTTCTACATCACCGAGCCACGCGACCCTGAATGGGCGGCGGCCCCCGAATTCAGATCTGGCTTCGCCACACGGCTCTCGTCATGGAAAGAAACGGGCCTGACGTGGGGGGATTCGGAAGAGCTATCCGGACTCCAGACATGCGTCCAAAACCTGGTGGACAAGAATCTCAAGCTTGTCGACGTAATCCTGGTGATGCTCATCCGCCGGATTCTCCCCTGCCAACGACGGGCCTTTAATTTGTGGGAGTTCGATCCGGCACAGCACCGAACCTTGAGCCGGCTCTTCGACACTACGTACGAAGATGCCTGGAAGGTGCTGTTCAAGGGCGCTGAAGCCCCAACATCCGCTACCAAAGATCGCGGGTACAGCGCACGGCGTCCAGCCGGCGAGGTAAGTTATTTTACCCTTCGCGGGACTCTCTTTTTTTCCATAGATTAACTCTATGCGGGATCTAAAGCTCCCTAATTTTTGACAGGACTGGCTGAAGACGGCCGAACAGATTACCTGTCCGGCTCCTTTGCGGAAGACCCGGAAGACGCCCGATTGACAGGGCTGTTGGCTCCGACGCCTCATGTGGTGCCGGAGAAGAAGGCCAAGAAGGAGGCCACGGGAACTCGAAGGAGTTCCCGACGCCAAGTGCTGTCAGGTTCTGAAGCAGAATCTTCTCCTGAGGATGAGGAGGAAGAAGAAGAAGCTCCTCCCCCGGTGAGGGAGGAGAAGAAAAGGAAGGCCACCCCAACGGGGGAGGCCGGAGG